CGTAGTTACGTGGTGTTTTGCAATCTTTTGTTGCTAATCGCCTTATAATTGCTGCTGCAATGGTTTCCACCATGTCTGGTGTAAACCATGTCTGGTGTAAACGGTGTCTGGTGTAAACGCTGTCTGGTGTAAACTGTCTATGGTGTAAACTTTTTCTGGTGTAAACCTTTGTTGGCTTTGTCTGGTGTAAACGACGTCTGGTGTAAACCGTGTCTGGTGTATACGGTGTTTGGTGTAAACGCTGTCTGGTGTAAACTGTCTCTGCTGTAAACTCTTTCTGGTGTAAACCTTTGTCGGTTTTGTCTGGTGTAAACCTCGTCTGCGGTAAGACCTTTTTGTCTGGTGTAAACGGTGTCCGGTGTAAACGCTGTCTGGTGTAAACTGTCTCTGCTGTAAACTCTTTCTGGTGTAAACCTTTGTTGGCCTTGTCTGGTGTAAACGACGTCTGGTGTAAACCGTGTCTGGTGTATAGACGGTGTCTGGTGTAATCGATGTCTGGTGTAAACTCTTCTCTGGTGTAAACCTTTGTCGGCTTTGTCTGGTGTAAACTTTTCCATGGTTACTTCGTCTGGCGTAAACAACGTGTGGTGTAAACCGTGCCTGGCGACATGCACCATCATCATCATTATCATCATCATCATCACCTTCATCATCATCATCAGCATCATCATCATCATCATCATCCTTATCATCCACATCATCATCATCATCATTATCATCATCATCGTCGTCAGCACCATCATCATCATCATCATCATCATCATCATTACCAGCAGCTACGTCATTGCAATCGTCATCGACCTCATCGTTAGCTCATGATCACAATAGCATATCACGGGCGTATCGTGAGATCATCATCTCATGGCACATCATATTTTCATATTTGATGTCATGTCATATTTTCTTTCACGGCATGAGAGTTACATGTGTTTCAGGTTGTGTTGTATTTGTATACTTGGCTTGAAATAGACCCAGCTGACTCGATGTGTTATTGTAGCTGATTGGATTTTTTCCGTCGTTTGCATCGGCATGACGGCGACGGCTTTAGCATGATCAGCATCAGATTTGTTGTTACAGCTGCTTGAATTTTTTCCTTTGTTGGCATCATCATGACGGTGACAGCTTTTAACATGATCAGCATCATTGACCTTTGTGTCGTATGGCTCGAAGGCAAGTGGACTCGCTTATTCTCGATCGACGGTCGGCAGAATCCGATCCGTGTGGTCGGTAGGGTGCCAGGTTGGGACGTGCGATTTCGCACACTTCGGCGGCTCTTACTACCGGGACTACCGTTTGGGCTCCGAAGTACAGTGCAACAGAATATACATTAATAGATTTGGTAATAACGTGATAATAGTATCATAATCATAATGTATATATATATATAGATATATATATATATTATATATTGTGTCATCTCATCATCATCTCATTTTGTTTCATCTTAATGTTTTGAATCATCATATATCATCTCTTCATTTCTTTAGTGCTCATTCATCTTCTGTTACTTCGCTTTTCTTCCCTTCTATTTGTTCTCTTCCGCCTACTTGCTTTCGGGCCACCCTGTCGTCTAGTTGAATTCCAAGTGGCTCATTCATGCCTTTACGTGACCGCAGCGGTCTAAGCAGCCAGCCACTTTGGCAGGGCACAAGGTGACCGCAGCGGAAAGTATTTTTGAGGTTCGTTGGACCCTGCCAGGGCCTTAGAGTGATGAGTTCCTCCCCACCTATTCCCGCTCCACCCGCCATGCTCCCATTCCCTGCCGGATTGGCGCCGACGGAGGGCATCCCTATAAGGCAACCCCTTTTCCATACCGTCCTTGGCGTACGATCGCACCTCGTCTACACGATGATGCCATTGGACAACTCAGACTCCCACTCACGGCCTACCAGACCTTCCGTGAGATCCACCGGTTTTCGTAGACCTTTACTGCAGCGCGACAAAATGCAGAAACTACGTATTGGACAGACTTAGGTCTTCAAAAGCAGGTACACCAGGTTGATCAGACCTGGCTTCCCAGATGCAAGGTAGCTTTGTTAGGCGCAGTCCCTTGCATCTGCTGCGCCCCCCTGCTAACAAAAAGGGTAAGAGGTCAGGCAGTACATTCCAAAAGGATCCCTGTGATTTCAAGGGTCACACACACACACACGCAGACGTAGTCACAAGCCCTCTCCACCGAGACCAGACGCGCGATATCAATCACCTCTTTCCTGTCTTGGTCGGCGTCTCTCCGCTTGTCTGTCTCAGTCTGTCTGTCAGTCTCGGTGCTTCTGTCTCGGTCTGTCGGTCTGCCTGTCTTGGTCGGGCAGGCCACGCGGACGAACGCGCACGATGTCAATTGTCTGTCTCGGTCTGCCTCTCTCGGTCCATCTGTCTCGGTCTGTCTGTCTCGGTCTGTCTGGTCTCGGTATGTCTGTCTCGGTCTGTCGGTCTGTTTGTCTCGGTCGGGCAGGCCACGCGGACGAACACGCAGGATGGTCACGGTCTCGGTCGGCTCGGTCGGTCTGTCAGTCTACGTCTCGGTCGGATACGACAAAATGCCGATCACGCCCACGATCTTGCGTCCACGATGTCGATAACGCATCTCCCCGCGGCCGCCATTACCGGCATCGCGACCGCTTGGTCTAAAACCAGACCCATTTTTTCAATCTTGAAAAATTTTTGCAAAGCACAGCATTTCCCAAGCTAGGCCCTCCCCTTAGCTAACGCTTAGGATGAATCCAGAACTCCAGAACATTCTCCCGGCTTACGCGACGCTTCCACAAGTTGCCACCATTGGCGCGGGCGGAAGTGTTTTATCAGTTTTGCTTGCCTTGGGTCTATCACTGCATCTAAGCAGCTCAACTGCCAACGTGTCAAAAACGAGCAGCAATTGAATTATGTGTGTTTTGTGTGTTGGCGCTTGCTGGCCCAGTGCTGGCGCAACATGTTTGTTCATCAATAGGAGCACGTCACGCTACCTGAACAAGTGGCAGTTTGATGCTTTGTGTCCAGGAGATACTTTTCTGTTTTGGGAGTTTGGTAAGTGCCAGGCCGATTGCGCAAATCATGTACCCCAGTGTTAATATGCGTTAATGCATAGTTTCACGCACCGCATGTCAACATGCTAATGTGTCAGCCCTGGACGCACCAGGCATGTGCGTAAATACAGAGTTGTGAATTTGTTTGTTTGCCTTGGGTTTCTGTGGTTTTAAAGTAATAGTAGTTTATTTTTCCGAGTTCGCATGGCACAAAAGTGTGTTCATTGGAATGAACATGAATGACTCAAATGGTGCCAGGTTCATTCATGCGGTTCCAGTGAAGCCTTGAAGACAGGAGACAGCGCAGGTGTAAGTTGTTGACATTGCATAGTGGCATAGTGCGTGATCAAAGTTACATCATGTTTAATTATTTGCAATGCATTTGTTAAGAGTTTTTGCCACTTCAGAATCGCACCATTCAACGCCCGCCGTTTGTGCATAGTTTGGATCGCCTGAAGAACGCAGGTCTTGGCCCATTGGGCACCTTTGATTTGTGGTCACTGTACTGCGACATGCGCCGCGCCTACATATGCGCCAAGTGGTTGTCTTGCAAAACATGTTTGGTCGAGAAGCAAGTAAGGATGCTTTTGATGAGCCAGCTTTATTTGATGTAAGCCATATGCACTCAAGCGGACATAAGTTGGCGTGATGCAAGCAAGCAGCAACAAAGTGATACTTACCACATCGACAGGCCTGTCCATATTAATCATAGCATCCAGCGCGCACGGCATTGAGCTGCAAGCTATCAGCTAGTGCGGATCTAGTATAAACCAACTGACAGGTTTCCCGCTAGGTTTTACATGTATCCTCCCTCCGCATGCCTGCCCGATCAGCTGGTGTTCACGGAGGGAGATCAATTGCCCGCACCGCACGGTCATATTTGTGGTTTGCCCAAGATGCGGTCGCGAACACGCTGACGGCTTAATTGGCTGTTAACAGGTGTGAGCAGCAAGTTCATCGCATGTGCTTTTGAGCAAAGTGATGTCCTCATGCCAAATTCGAGGCTTGCAAGTGCACCAGCCGCTTCATGGCTGTACAAAGCACAATTTCTTGAAGCAGTTGCTGCAGTGGTCATACTCCCCATCCACTTGATAATCTTCCGCTTGGAGAAAGCTGGCTTGAGGCGGCTCTGACGTCGCTCAAGGGCTCATCAGTCATAAATTAAAACTGCAAGCCCCTAAATCTCCAAGCTGCGTGTGCCCTCTCCAGGCCTGGACAGGAGATTTGGCTGCTTTGCTTGATGCCAGTGCTATTTTCAACCATGCGCTTGCCTTTGGCCTATGCCAACTACTCCAGATGCCTCTTGCACAATGTTTGGAACTTTCATCGGTCTTCTTGACAGACCCTGGCCAAGTGTGACAAACCCTCATGTTGGCTGGTCTAAGGCAGATTGATTATAGCCATGGGATTGGAAGAGGAGCGCTGATGATTTCCCACATCTCTGTGTGGGGTTCTAGTTTTGTTGGCTGGCATCCCGCCCGCATCCGCCGGTCCTTCCGTCCTCCTCGCCCCCTCCTCCGTCGCTCACTCACTCTCACTCACTCACTCACTCACTCACTCATTCTTCACATCACTCACTCACTCACTGACACAACACAAGATCTCACCACTCACTCACTCACTCACTCACTCCCCTCACTCACTCACTCACTCACACTCCCAGAGCCTGTCATCCAGAGACTGCAGAAGGGGCTGCGGCGCGCGTTGTCGCCGCTGGGCCCCCCTCTCTCTCCGCAGGCGCAGTACCCAGAGCCTCCAGAAGGGGCTGCGGCGCGCGTTGTCGCCGCTGGGCCCCCCTCGCTCTCTGCAGTGGCAGGCGCAGTACCCAGAGCCTCCAGAAGGGGCTGCGGCGCGCGTTGTCGCCGCTGGGCCCCCTGCGGTTCTGTGCGTTACTGCCATTGTGATTTGCAACGCAATGGTTGTGACAGGCTGCGAATCGCATTGTAATGGCTGCGGCCAGGATGTGCGCACACTGTGTCTGTGCACTACTGCCATTGTGATTTCCATAGTATTGGTTCTTGCCGGTTCGGAGTCGCATTGTAAATGCTGCGAGAAGGATGTTTGCGGCGCGCGTTGTCGCCGCTGGGCCCCCCTCGCTCTCTGCAGTGGCAGGCGCAGTACCCAGAGCCTCCAGAAGGGGCTGCGGCGCGCGTTGTCGCCGCTGGGCCCCCTGCGGTTCTGTGCGTTACTGCCATTGTGATTTGCAAAGCAATGGTTGTGACAGGCTGCGAATCGCATTGTAATGGCTGCGGCCAGGATGTGCGCACACTGTGTCTGTGCACTACTGCCATTGTGATTTCCATAGTATTGGTTCTTGCCGGTTCGGAGTCGCATTGTAAATGCTGCGAGAAGGATGTTTGCGAAGTGTGTCTGTGCACTGGTGCCATTGTGATTTGCAGGACCAGTGTTTGCGCGGCACGCAAATCGCCTTGTAAATGCTGCATAGAAGTTGTTTGTGAAGTTTGTCTCTGCGCTGCTGCCATTGTGATTTGCAAAGAAAGGGGTCTCACTGCATGCGAATCGCATTGTAATGGCTGTGGCAAAGATGCTTGCAAACTGTCTCTGCGCGGTACTGCCATTGTGTATGAGAACGGAGAGAAGGCATTCGCAGCCGATTGTATATTTGCCTTTTCTAGTCGGATATTCTCACTCACTCACTCACTCACTCCTCACTCACCTCACCTCACCTCACCTCACCTCACCTCACCTCACCCCACCCCACCCCACTCCACTCCACTCCACTCCACTCCACTCCACTCCACTCCACTCC